CCAGCATGGCTGGCTGGGGAATTCTGGGAGTTGAAGTCCACTCATCTTAAAGTGGCCAAGTTTGGGCAACACTGCCTTAGACAGCTTAGCCCTTGCTGTGGTGATGGAGCTAATGGCATAATGTTGAACTATCTGACTCTCTTTCCTGTGCAATGTTTTTGAGGGTTGCTGGGTGTTCTGCAGTATGAGAAACAGAAGGATAAAGCTCTGTCAATCCTGGCCTGGCCAGGAGAAAACATCACTGCAACAGAGGTAACTCTGGGGTTACTAAGTTGTGCCAGTGACACCATAAATAATTTGTGGGAAAAGACCCTTAGTCCAGATCTTCTGCATGTATAAGAAGTACAGGCTTCATTTCCAAGGTTGTACTGCCTTATGGTTGTTTTATGAAATGCAAGGAAACTGCTATCATTTTATATACGAATGTTACCTGATTTATTCATCCATGAAGTGTGCACAAATTTACATTAAAGCCCTCAGTATTTTGGAAACAAGGAACATTTCTTTGGTTTCCAGATAGCCTATGCGTCCTGCATGAGGAAGGAAAACGCATATTCTAAAATAGAGCTAATCAGCTGGTGCATTTGCAAAGGGCTTTGATGATGATAACTGACACCTCATTATCTGCAATTTATAAAGATTCTGATATGACCTAACAGCCACTCTTGTAGTTTGGGAAAAAGAGTAGGTATTTTTGTACAATTGTACTTTAGCAGTATTTGGAAATGTGTCTTCACTAGGGTTGCGATGCACTTTGAATTCAGTCTCAAAAAGGTGCTTTGGAGCATGTGGGAAAGGTATCCAAAGCACATTGTCTGAAATACATGAAAATAGTGCATCTTCCTGGAATCACACAGCAGCTGTGGAGGACAGCCACATGATCCCTGCAAATGACGCAGCTGCCTTAAGGTCCTGCAAACAGGTGATATGCTATGTTCCCTCTAAGGTGTGTGCATGTGCACACTACTCTACACTACTCTACTCTACTCTACTCTACACACTAAGGTGTGTGCATGCACACACTACTCATCAAACTTGTGCACAGGGTAAAAAGGCGAGTGTACAACTTTTTCCCCAGAATAATAATAATGCTCCCTACTGGCAAGGAACCCGTACAAGCTCATCACTTCAGAAAGCCTGGGCTTAACTGCCACACAGAGGGTTATTCAGAACTGCCACAGATTGAGCAGAAGCTTTAGGGAGAAGTGCCCTTTGCTGAGACAGTAGGCAGATGGTCCTTTCCTGGCCTTACAGCCAACCTGCTCGGGATCGGGCCCCCCTAGAAACACATGGGACACAACCACAGAGCCTCCTACAGACAAAGGAGCCAGGTCAAGCCCTGCTCTGTTCTGAGAAGTGGCTCCCGACAGCCCCCTTGGCTTGCCTCCCTCCTCCCTTCAAAAAAAGATGTAATTAAGATCTGTTGAGTTTTGGGCTGTACAAAATCCATGATCATTGTTAACTTTATTTAAAAAATAAAATTTTAAATTAATTATTAAAATTTAAATTAAAAAAGATATATTCAGAGAAGTAGAATGGGGGGAATGAAACAGGGCTATCTAAATGCTTTTTGTATAATGCTTTTCTTTTTCTTTCTTTCTTTCTTTCTTTCTTTCTTTCTTTCTTTCTTTCTTTCTT